AGTCATGTCAGTCCTCAGTAACCCTTTATACCTGATTCTGTGCACTACTCACGTGTCCTTTCAATGGGCGTAAGTCTGCCACCGATTGCCTCAAAATTATCTCAAAAACTAATGATAATATTACGGATCAGTTGGATGACCCATCAGATGGTGATCGTTGACTACGCCATTGATCGGGGGATGACCACCAATCAGGCGGTCATACTATTGAGCTCCTTCGCCGTGGCCGACCTGTTCGGGCGACTGGCCTCCGGATTGCTGGCGGACAGGCGTTTGGTACGGAAGCGCAACATTGTCTCCATTTGCATACTACTCATCGGTGTCCTAATCTTCATGACACCGGCCGCCACCACATTCAGGATACTACTTGTGATGACTATAGCCCTGGGCTTTGTCAGCGGCGCCATTATCGTACTCTTCAGTATTCTAACCATGGAGTACGTGGGCCTCAATCGACTGCCCATAGCCTTAGGCACGTCGGCGTTCATTGTGGGCATCAGTACTCTGGGCCGACCTCTGGTTGTCGGATATTTTCGGGATACTTTTCACTCATATGATGGTCTCTTCCACTTTGTCGGTGTTTTAGCACTTCTGGCGGCACTCCTATGGCTGTCGGAGCCGTTCGCCCGGCTATGGGTCGCCAGACGTACTAAATATGGCTATGGCTTCAAGATTAGTGTCATATAATATCTCATACGAAGAGTTTTCTTGTGATAACGGATCCGATCACAAAACTTTTGCAAACCTTTTGTTGTCGTAATTTATGGTGGTTTGTAAAACGCCTAAAACTGTGAGCCAATGAGAGCGCGGCGTTTGGTTTAAAACTTTTTTCTCAACTCAACAGTCGTTTCACTCATTTATTATCAATTTGTGTTCAAATAGTGAACCATTCATCGACTTCTTCGTGCGCCACAAACCTCTTGAGTGTGTGAATAGTTGTGTGAGAGGTAGTGTGTCAGTACGCGTGTGTGTGTGAGATGTCAACCGCGGATCAGCTAATGGATGAGCCGTTGAACGAGTCGGTGGTGACCATCAGCGGCGCCGCCAATGAATCCAAGTATGGCTTGGAAGCGATCCTCCAGGACCTGGACATCGAGATCCAGTGCAAAGAACTCGCCTCCGAGTTGGTGTCCAGAGTGGAGACACTGGCGCTGGAGTCAGAAGTGGAGGCATTGAGGCGCCGGTTGGCTCTCAAAGACAAAGAGCTCATTGATTTGGAGAACAATCTGATCGAGTCTTTCGCGCAAAGACTCTACTCTTCGGACCAAAGTATGCGCGAAACGGATCTCATGTATGAGTCGCACGTCGAGAGCCGACACCACATGTCCGTCGACTCCCGACAACTGGACTCCGAGGCCAACGATTTGAGACGTGAATTGGCGCTCAAAGACAACGAGTTATCCGATTTGGCGGCGATGTTGGCCTCGAATCGAGAGCAGCTGTCGACGAGGAAGAGTTCATATGAGACAGCGATCGCCGAACTCGAGAACCAATTGGTGGTGAATACGGAACAACTCATCGACCAGAGGGTAACTCACGAGAGAGTGGTCTCTGAGATGGAGAACCGGTTGGTCTCAGAGGCGACTGATTTGAGGGAACAGTTGGCTCTCAAAGACAAGGAGACGATCGATGAGCGCAACCATTATAGGGAACAACTCGAAGACATGAAGACCTTGGAATCGGTGTCCAAAGCGGAGACACTGGCGCTCGAGACAGAAGTGGAGGAATTGAAAAGTCGATTGGCGCTCAAAGACAACAAGTTATCCGATTTGGCGGCGATGTTGGCCTCGAATCGGGAACAGCTGTCGACTCAGAAGAGTTCATATGAAACAGCGATCGCCGAACTCGAGAACCAATTGATGGTAAACACGGAACAACTCATCGACGAGAGGGTGACTCACGAGAGAGTGGTCTCAGAGGCGACTGATTTGAGGGAACAGTTGGCCGCCAAAGACGGCGAGTTGTCCTCAAATCTGGAACAGCTGTCGACTCTTAAGACTTCTTATGAGATAATGATCGCCGAACTCGAGAACAAATTGATGGTAAATAAGGAACAACTCATTGACGAGAGGGTGACTCACGAGAGAGTGGTCTCTGAGATGGAGAGCCGGTTGGTCTCAGAGGCGACTGATTTGAGAGAACAGTTGGCCGCCAAAGACGGCGAGTTGTCCTCAAATCTGGAACAGATGTCGACTCTTAAGACTTCTTATGAGACAATGATCGCCGAACTCGAGAGCAAATTGATGGCAAATACGGAACAACTCGAGAACCAGAAGATTACTCTCGAGAGAGCCATCTCTGAGATGGAGAACCGATTGGTCTCAGAGGCGACTGATTTGCGTCAACAGTTGGCTCTCAAAGACAATGAGTTATCGGATTTGGTGGCGAATTTGGCCTCAAATCAGGAACAGATGTCGACTCTTAAGACTTCTTATGAGACAGCGATCGCCGAACTCGAGAACAAATTGATGGCAAATGCGGAACAACTCATCGACGAGAGGGTGACTCACGAGAGAGTGGTCTTTGAGATGGAGAACCGGTTGGTCTCAGAGGCGACTGATTTGAGGGAACAGTTGGCCGCCAAAGACGGCGAGTTGTCCTCAAATCTGGAACAGATGTCGACTCTTAAGACTTCTTATGAGACAGCGGTCGCCGAACTCGAAAACAAATTGATGGCAAATACGGAACAACTCATCGACGAGAGGGTGACTCACGAGAGAGTGGTCTCTGAGATGGAGAACCGGTTGGTCTCAGAGGCGACTGATTTGAGGGAACAGTTGGCCGCCAAAGACAATGAGTTATCGGATTTGGCGGTGAAGTTGGCCTCAAATCTGGAACAGCTGTCGACTCTTAAGACTTCTTATGAGACAATGATCGCCGAACTCGAGAACCAATTGATGGTAAATAAGGAACAGCTCGAGAACCAGAAGATATGTCACGAGAGAGCCATCTCTAAGATGGAGAACCGATTGGTCTCAGAGGCGACTGATTTGAGGGAACAGTTGGCTCTTAAAGACAAAGAGACGATTGATGTGCGCAACCATTATAGGGAACAACTCGAAGACCAAAAGTTTAACTTCGAGGAGAAGATCGTCGAATTGGAGACTAAACTCGAGTGCAAAGAGTTGGAGACAGAGATCGAGACACTGAAGCAGACATTAGCCGCGAAAGAGACTGAACTGAAAGCCGTTTCGGAACCTCTGGAAGCGCTGGAGTCGGAGCTGAACGCCACGAAACAGGGCTACGACGGACTCGTGTCGAAGTTGTCGTCGTTGGAGACTATAAACTTGAATCTCAAGACGGAACTGGAGTTTCTCACGCAACAGGCGACCAAATCGCGCGATTTGGAGAAAAAGATACAGGAGTTCGAGGAGCAGAAGCGCCTGAAGGGCCGCAACTTCGAGCTGATCCTCAATCAGGCGAAAGTCTGGGAGAAGAAGTTGTTGACCGTCGAGGCGGACAAAGAGTCGCTGGAGACCAGACTCCAAGACATTCAGACGGAGAACCAGAAGCTAAACGACGAGCTGACGGTATATCTCGATCGGTGTCGTGAGACCCGATCGGAGCTTAAGAGCGAGAAAATGAAAAGCGATTCAATGCTGAGTCAGTGGCGGTATTATAGGGTTCAGCATAAGAAGATCCGCAGAGACATGAAGCGGATCTGCGGTGACATCGACGGCATTCTTCAGGAGTCGACTGACGCGTGCGATTTGAAACAGTTTATGGTATCGCTTAAGAAAAAGTATGTGTTTTTTGGCGTTTCGTTTTGAGTTGCGTTTTGTTTTACGAAATGTTTGTCTCGTTTTTCAGATTCAGTGGCGAAGAGAGCGATGACGAGGAGGAGGAGAACGAAGAGATTTGCGACAAAACGAGAGCCAATGCCAGGAGTGATAGGAAACAGCCGTTGGGCTCATCTAATCACCAATAGTTTGGACACAAATCTGTGTATTTTTTGTTGACCAGTAATTCGCGACATTATTGTCTATTATTAGGAAATCAT